GCCCTTCCCAAACCAAGCTTATCAAACCAAACAAATTTTCCCAAAAAAATTTCTCAAAACTTGTAAACCAAACAAGTTTTTCAAACAAATCTCTCTCTCACACACATCAATTCAATCATTTTTTCCAAAACTCTCTCTCAAAATAATTTTTCAAAACATCTTTTGAAAAAAATCAAACCAAACAACTTTTCGTACTTTTTATCTCTAAAACACATCTCTCAAACACAAATCAAACATACACATTCTAATTTTGAAAACGATCCAAAAAAATACGCGTTTTGAGAGTTGTACCATTTATCCATTTACCATGCTATGCTTCCCAGTTCACAAAATCATAAAAGTGAGATTCCAATCATATCACAAGACAACAGTCCGCGACAAAAAAGCCAAACACGTAATAATGGTAAAAATAAAGAGTATGTGTACGATCATATGATTTTGCCCTTCACATCTCTCAAGCCAGCTCTTCAATGTTACATCGGGTAAATTACACTGAGCCTCTGTTTGGCAAGATGGTTTTCAGGTTTTTTTGGCTATTTTAGCCACAAAAAACAAAATAGACTATTTTAGTCATAACAAACAAAACATCACATCCAACCCATAATCATTACATTCTTCTCTCACAAAAAAAGCCAAAAAAGCCAAAAAGCCAAAAAGCCAAAAAGCCCTTCCCAAACCAAGCTTTTTAGCCCAGGCTAAAATAGTCAAAAAAGCCAAAAAGCCAAAAAGCCAACCCACTTCCCAAACGGAGGCTGACTCTGTTTAATATGGTACTGTTTTGAGAAATTAATAAAAAATTAATTTTTAATTTTTTTAATTAAAAAAATTAATTTTTTAAATAGTGACTTGGGTAAAAAAAATTAAGATTGTGGTGGTGTTTGGCAAGTGGGTTGGGGCTAAAATAGCCACAAAAGACAAAACAGGCTATTTTAGCCACAACAAACAAAACATCACATCCAACCCATAATCATTACACTCTTCTCTCACAAAAAAAAGCCAAAAAGTCAAAAAGCCAAAAAGCCCTTCCCAAACCAAGCTTTTTAGCCCAGGCTAAAATAGCCAAAAAGCCAAAAAGCCAACCCACTTCCCAAACGGAGGCTGTATTTGGTTGTGATTTCAAAATGTGATTCAACGTGGTAATTTGAGTATGGTGTTTGGATGGAGCTGTGAAATTAATTTTTCACAGCTCTGCAAAACGCTCTGTCTGTTCTGTCAAAATCGAGCACGTGTTTCAATTTTTTTTTCAAAACGGGACGTCCGGCCGGTTGACCGGAATAGTTATTTTTGGAATAGTTTTTTTTTTTTTTTTTGCGATTGATATATAATCGAAAAAAATATTTTCTGAAATTTTTTATATGCTTTAAAATAATTTTGAGTTGTATGAATTGTAAATTTTTATATCAAATTTTAAATGTCACATCAATAATTTTCCACTCAAATCAAAGCTCTTTTCAAAATTATTTTTAAAATTCTTTACCAAATAAATTTTTTACTCTTAAATTATAATTCCACAACACACAAATTCAAAATACAACTCGTACTCTCAAATCACATTTACAAAACTCTACCAAACGCTACCTAACTTTTTTTGACTAAAAAAAACTAAAAACTATACTTTTTGCTAGCTTGCCAAAGCAAGCCATAGGTTGTTTAAAAGTTATACTTTTCCTTTTACCATTTTAAAATAATATATTTATTCTTTAATTTTTATATATATAAAACAATAAAATAATATTAATATTTTATTTATATTATTTTTTAAAAATTAATAATCATCTTATTTAATTTATCTTATACAAAAAAATTAAATTTATTTATTTTTTGTGTTTTTTTATTTTTATTAAAAATTTTAATATTTTAAGATTTTTTTTCGACACACCTAATTTAGATATGTTTAAAAAGTATAATATTTTATATATTTTTTTAAATTCACAAAATACAAAAAATATAAAAATTCAATAATACTGTAATAAATATAAATGATGGTATTTGGTTGTACTGTAATAAATATAAATGAATAGACAAGAAATAAAAATGATAGTGGAAATAAAAATAAAAAATTCTATTCATATATAAAAATTTATACAAAAAATGTCATAAAAATATTATGATAGTGATGTTAAAAATATAAATAATATTTACAGGTATTTTGTTTCAAAGTAGGAGATCATCATTAAACTATATCATTGTGTTTGAAAATTTTATATAAAATTTATATTTATATATCATCACTCAATAAGAATATGTTCAGATAAAATTTAATGATGAAAGTTATAAAGTGTAGTTTTAATGATATGGAGAAGAAATGGTACAAAAAAACGATGAAATGGCCATTTAAAAAATTTTAAGACACGATATCAGTCACAACAATGATAGAGACCACTAATTTTGGAATTCTAAAAAGATCACTAATGACATGACACTCAATAAAAAAAGAAAAAAAATACAACACCAAGGCCAAAACATCAAATCATTCATGGTGAAGCCCACTACCACATCATTAGTGGTAGCACTAATTAGTGCTCTCACTCATTTTCCTATCAACTATTTAGGGGACAATTTATAATGATATTACAAATGTCAAGAAGAAAAATATAATTTTACAAATATGAAAAAAGAATCTGTATTAAATAGGGGTGTTAGAGTAATTTACCCATATTTCGTCTGATCAAATTATAAGAGCCGCATGGTGCACACGATCATATTTTTGGGGCTTTAACCAACATCTTTTTCAAAATTTATTTTGTAATTAAATAATGGGTTAATTATCTAAAAGTCCTATTTATAAATGTTATAATAACTCAGGTCCTATCAAAGATTTTTTGATCTAATAAGTCCTATTTAAAAAAATTGATAATATTATTAGTTTTTTTTTTTAATTTTTTACAATTAAGAACATTATCAATTTTGTATAATAGTGTTCTAGATAATTATTTCACTAACTGATTAAAAAACAGAGTATGAGATTAAACGTTTTTGTATTTCTACTTATTAGTTTGATTCAACTATTCAATAAACTGAGAACATTATCAGTTTTTTTTAATTTTAAATTTGAGATATTATCAATTTTTTTTTTCATTTTTACAGATCAATATTCCATCATCATACTCCTTTATAGACACAAAAATTTCAGTTTTTCAAAAAAAAAATTTTTTACAATTAAGAACATTATCAATTTTGTATAATAGTGTTCTAGATAATTATTTCACTAACTGATTAAAAAACAGAGTATGAGATTAAACATTTTTGTATTTCTACTTATTAGTTTGATTCAACTATTCAATAAACTGAGAACATTATCAGTTTTTTTCAATTTTAAATTTGAGATACTATCAGTTTTTTTTTTTTCATTTTTACCGATCAATATTCCATTATCATACTCCTTTATAGACACAAAAATTTCAGTTTTGCAAAAAAAAAAAAAATTAGATTTTCCATTTTTTTTTATAAAAAAAGCATTTAGATTTTTTTTGCACATAATATTTTTTTTTATTTTTTCAATTTGAAAGTTGATGTTTTAACATTTTGAAAATCAAAATAAATGTAATATCTTCATTTCGTCTAAATAATTACAATGACAAGGGGGTTAGTATAATTTTCTAAACGTCAGGGGGTGATATGATTATTTATGTTGCTTTATAGATAATCATAAATGATGAACAATCATTGTTTGAAGAGCAGTTCCGACTATTAAAAATTTAATGAGACTTGAAGATCAAAAAAATCTTAATTAAGATTTAATGAAATATAAGTTTATAAATTAAGATAGTGTGTAAATGCCTGTTAAATAATTAAGTCATTTTCTTTTGGAGAACCCTCAAATAGTTACTTGTTGATTTATTAATTTATTTATATCATATTATCTCTTTATTTTTCTTACACGTTTTTTTTTTAATAAGTAAAAAAACCAAAAAATAAGACATCCAAAACAACTCAGATGTAATTCTCAATCTATGCTGGAGCTAGTTGAAAAACACATTACTTATCTCCCTTGAAATTTTAGAAAAAACACAGTAAATTTCATAATTTTAATATAATTATACTAATCTTTCTTTTAGTACGGTGAAAGAGATCAAAAGTAATGTAATGATATAAAGACATAAAGATACTAATGCTGTGTTTTTTGTTGGAAGATTTGGAGAATGATTTGGAAAGGAAAACGGAAAAGGTAGGTGAAATGTGAATAAAACATGCCTATATTTCACCTAGTTTCACACACCTTTTCCCTTTCCCTTTCTAAATCCCTCTCCAAATCCCCCAACAAAACACAGTATAAAGGTAACAACATCATTTTTTTTATTTATATAATTAACGAAAAGCTGATAAAAATAGAATAAAGTTTATATAAATTAAAATCTTAAAAACACCCAGTATAATTAAGTCAAATTTATAAAAGTTTATTGTATTTTCTCTAATCCTCGACTATTTTAAAAAATGGGGCAAAATACTCTACAACTAAACCGCATGGATAATTTAAGCTGGCCCTAGTCAGAGGAGCGTTGGAGTGCTTCTCTCTAGTGATTCTTGGCACGCTGACAACTTTTTGGCAAGATACAAAAACACTTCCCGAGCATGTAACTGAACTTTTTATACCTACCAAAAAGGAGTTTGAGAGTGTTTTTCCCAATTTTTAACATAAATTTTTCGATTTTCAATACCTACAATGTATCACGTTCTCTTCTCTTAATCATTCTTTGCTATTATAGGTGCTATTCTTCGTCAACTTTGACTTTTAACAATGATTGAAATTCCAAAAGTTAAACTTAGACCAAATTTGACATACCTCAAATAATTTATCTTTTTATCTTTTGTCCATCACATCACTTTTCTATTTTTCTGCACATCTTTTTGTAAAAAAATAAAAAATACACTTATTTAAATCATCCCAAACAACCCTTTATTTTGATGCAAATCTCAATTTTGTTTTTAATTTCTTTTTTTTTTCAAACCATATCTATGAAAAGATTGATGAAAAAGAAATTAGTCAAAACAAAGCCAAGTAAAAAAACACATCCCCATCCAAGTCCAACTGAGAGCTGTTCAGAGATTCAAACAAACTACAAAGTATACAGTTCCAGTAATGCATTATTTGTAGAAGTAATTGGTACCCATAAATTTAGTTTTTGAAGTTTTATAAGGAACAGGTAACGAGAAATTATAGAAGGCTACAAGCAAGTATGGTCCAATCACTGCCTGCCACAGCCATAGAAAAGCTTCAGTTGTTCCATAAAGGATGCAAAATTATATAACTGCTTCCTCTTTCACCTATCTATCTTTCTTTGAGTTCCTGTTCAAACTGAAACAACTTTTCACGGACTGGCTGCAGAAAAAGCTTCAAATCCTTGCTGATTCTTAGCTTATCTTCATGTGCAACATCCTTCTCTTCATTAAGCCTCACTTCAAACTACAAAAAAAATAAAAATAAAAATAAAGTAGATAATAAGTCAGTCCCTCCTGATTAACTTCAGTTGGTACAATACAAAGAGTTCCCAGATTCAAACATATTGCTTACCATGACTGAAATATATGACAACAAAAAAGTAGATGACATCGTGTTAAAAACGTGTAGATTAAAAACAACTAAGCATGGATTGTTCATTTACTTTGTTCACTTCACAAATAAAAAAAAATAAAAATCAATTCCTGGAAATAATTTGATACACTATACATACTGGAATCTATCCTTTTTTTTTTTTCTCTCAGTTTCGCCCTTCCATCTATCTTTTATATTTAATTTCCACAACTTAGAATCAGACTGACTTTAAATTTGTATATGCAAACAGAATAATGATTATTGAAAACACAACTGAAATCTGATAATAAAAAAACACAATGCAAACTGAATGCCTCTTCATGCTCTCATAACCAGGCACAAGTTCTGTGGCTAGCCAGGGGTCTTATCATAATCTTATTCAAAACCATGTCACAATATATTTTAGACAACAAATTCCCATTTTCACCTATATATTTGAGTATGTTGCCTACATAAATCAGAGATCCATTATGCCGATGCAATTTAGACACCTGGCAAAAAACTTGGCTTAAATTTCAAATATGCTAAGACATGCTATTCTTGGTTGCAATGACAGTTTTGGCTGACCTCTATGCTCACCCAACTGAGTGGAAGAGCAAATATGTTTTGGCAATCGCTGGAAAGATAATTTCTGGTTTGTTCCTTAGCATCAATGATGCAATATGAAATATTATTCTGGTGTGTACAAATCTCACTTCAAAGCAGCCCCAAAGTATGACAGGCTGAAATTGACTGCACGGCTTTTGACTGTCAGTTCAAATCTGCTCTTCCATGAAGAAATCATAATTTTATTGCACCTATTGCAGTTTGAGCTTAATGGGCGGAGCTCAAGCTCAAGGTTTCATTCTGGATCATGGTGAAGTCACCATAACTTTCTCACACCCATATTGATTTGAGATGTGTATGATGTTACACAGACAAATGTCTCCCAAACAAGAGTCAGAGTTACCTATCTAATAAGCATCCCAACCCATGCAACACAAACATTTTTCAAGAGCCAGACATGTATCTATGCAATGTCAAAAGAAATTCTTTTCCATTTATCTACATATGTTCTTTCCTTTTTGTAGTTTCTGTAAAAATTCATACCTCATCATTGGTTTGTGAAAAATGGGTTTAAAGTAATTCAGGTAGATTAACTGCTAAGAGCCCAAATTGGCAATGTGATCCATAAAGCTTTGGGTCATGGTCCATTTTAGTGTATCTATTTCAAATGTAGGTTTGTGGTATGTAGGAGTAAGACTTTTTTAGGTTATTTGAGTTCCTTAGGGCCCAATGACTGTGCTCCTCTCCTATAATATTACGACATGTGTGTGTGTGTGTGAGAGAGAGAATCATATGAATTTTAGTCTCATTGAAAGACGACATAAAGAGCATGAGTGGAAGAGTAAATCCTATGGTTTTCTAACTTGTGAAGACCATTCTTTCAGAAAAACAAAAACTCGAGAATGGCAGGATCAAACGATATGTATTCAAATTTATATTTAATTGTTAATTATGTCATATGGTGTTTTAATTTCTAGAATATAGATCCTATAATTTCTTTTATAAACGGCTTTTATATTGGCGTACAGAATATACCTGCAAGTCATCTAGTTCACCAACTGAGAACTCTGGGATTTCAATACACCCCTTTACCTTCTTTTTCTCCTCTCCAATAAGCCAGTCCCCTGATTTCCATGATATTATCATTAATAAATTTAGATGAAGCAGATAACAAGAAATAGAAAGTCAAGATCAAAAAGAAAAACAGAAGAAAAAAGGGGGCGGGGGAAGAAACAGACCAAAAGAAGAGAAAATTCACATACCTTTGACTCTCAATGTCAACTCGTAAGTGTAACCAACACGCTTCTTGTTTCGTACGGTCACCAAGAATGCCTGCACAATCTCTTGCATGTATTATCAATGAGAAAAGAAACCATAATGATGTCTACACACCGTTTCCATTCAACGGAATTGAGCTTATGAGAATTTATATTGTTTTTGTATTATGTTGCTTAACCCTTTGAGGGTGAATCCCTTAGCTTACATTGATTTGGAAAGGATTTTAAATAAATGGATTTAGGCAAAATTATTTAACAAATATAGCTTACGGTTTTGAGAGTTACATGAGTTGAATCAAAATAACAAGGATTCTAGTCGCACCATGATCACATAATATAAAATTTTCGCTACAGATGTTATAAATTCATGAACTATCATTGACCTAATAAATGTTCTATTTTTCCTTTCAATTTTGTTGGGTATTTGTTGATCACGTAATATGCTAGACGCACTTCTCTGCTTGAGTCAACCTACTTTGATTCTATGCACCACATTATTTCCACCCTCACAATCCTTGCTAATAATTGAATGTAGGTAACGAAAATGTGCACTATTTGTTATCTACTGATTTTCAAACTTCAGTTCTCCATATTTCTACTTCTATTGTCAATAAAGTTGCATTTTATATATTTACTTTTATTTCTACTAATTTAAACCCTTTTAACTCGAGTACTTTTCTCAAATCATCCTGAATGTGTTTAGTTAACATATCCATGAGTAACAACTCAAAGCAGACCCCTAGTATAAATCCTACAATAATTGAAAATTCACTAGTTTCTTGTGCAGGTGATCTAATTGTAGTCACAACTCCATCATAGATGTCTTTAATCACATCAATAAATCATTTGTTCACACATTTCTCCAACACCCACCATATTATATCTCTAAACAACATATTAGATCGCTCATTTTCTCCATGTACTTCTCTATTAATCTTCTTGGTAATATATTGTTTAATTGATCTATCAAGTATAAATCGAAACTAATTCACTAACACTGTCATTTTAACCCTTAAGCAATGCTCAATCACTCCAAAGTTTTCCCACAATTTAATAGTTGTTGCAATTTCAAATATCTCCTTTATTTTCATATATAGGTAAAAATATCTGCTCATGAGGGAGTTTCCTGATTAGAATTTTATTAAAGAATTTTGCTAATGGATTCACTCCTAAAGGTGTGTGGATTGGATTGAGTCAATAATAATACATGAATGGAGGCTATCAACTTTGAAATTTCAAACCTTCAAGAGTGCAAGTTTGATGCTTGAGCTTCATTATACTTCAACACTACAAAATTAGAGGTTAAATTTCTCTGATGTGGAAGAGAAAAATGAAGAACATGATAACAAGAAAAAGGGCAGTTCTAAAATACCAAAGCCTCCTGTCAAATACCAAAGTGCGATGGTATAACACAACCAAATAAAACTCAATGCCATGTGACAATAGACAATAGATAGGAAAACTTCCACAAAAGGCTTAGAAACCCAGAACACAGTGTTATTGCAAACTTAACCTTGATGAAGTAGGAATACAATTAAGTACAAGACATCGTATCCAAAATTTTATGAGCATGAATACTAAATAAAAGCATTCAATACCAAATACTATTTTCTTTTCTTCAGCCATGCTATTTCATTTTGTTTTTTTGAAATTTAGTTTGGCATCTCTTCCTAAATTTTGTGAATTTCCATCTAACAATCAAATCTGAAAGTAAGCAGGCAGATAAAATGAAGCAAACACTGCCATAGCACATGATAGAAGCGCTTCCATGGCATAAAAAAAAGGTTATAGGGTTAGGGTCCTATTATTAGAGCCACCAATCAAGAGTAAGAAAATGAAAGAACAACATATACGGGACAAAATTAATGGCTAAATCTTCAAAATGTAATGAGCACATTTATTAGACAAACTACACGACAGAAATTCACGAAGCTTAGATGCATGACGCTACCATCATATTGGACTACAGATCAATTTTATGAGAACTTACATCGCCTATGCACTTTGATACTTCTGCTATTTCTGCTCTGCCCCCAGAGAACTCCAGGGACCCCACAGAAGGTAGCAACTCCTGCAATTCAAGTCCAATGTTAGAAGAAAAAAAAGTTAGACCACTCAATTGTATATATAAAAAAGCAATAATACTATAAATCTTGGTGCCACATTATTAAGCTGCCTTGTAGCCAGCAGCATGCCCTCCACAAAACATTTGAATGGGTACAATTGAGCAATATATCCTCTGATTACTTGCATAATAACAAGTACCAAACTAAACAAACATGGTGTGGCATTCCAGAATCACTTAAATTACTCCGTTCATCAGCCATATACCCATAGCTACATTATATAAACACAAACAGAAAGCCTACACAACATAAATGAGAAAACTACAATTGCAGAAGTACAAACCTTAATCCTATCGCTTGCCCATTTGTTAAGGTTCTTCTCCTCCCATGTTCCAGCCTATATAATAGCATAATATAGTCAGAAAGAAGCAAATATTATGGAGATATAAAAGTTACAGAAAGAAACTTGCAACTTCAACCAAGTAAAAAAGATACTTGTCACTTTGAATAGACAACAGACACATAAAATAGAAATACTCATTTCTCATCCTGCTGGTTTTCTTCGTTCATTTGTTTTAGGGGATGGTTCTTAAGCATTCCCCTTTCAACCCAGATGGTGGATTTATCATCCTCCCTTATTTGGAATTTTTTTTCACGTCTCCAATTATATCTCCTACATGAGATGTAGAACCTAGAATAAAAGCATGGAGACCAACTATACTAATCTTCAATCTCAAAGATTGCTTTGAAAAAGAAGTAGATCACTAGAGTTCGTCAGCGAGAACATTTGAGGACAAAGCTCAATGAGACTGTGAACCAAGTCATTTTGTTATCGCTCCTCAAATGTCTTCAGGAAGTAATCCATCCATGAGGTGTCCAGACAAGGCTGTGTCCACATGGCACTAACTAGGATGAACTCCACTTGCCATGGCTTAGTTCTTCCATATCTATATCTATTCTCGTGTTTACATCGACATGCATCTATATCGATATACAGGCACCAAGTGCCTTCTGTCCTTTGCTCAACCACCCAAAGGGTTGCTGGGGGACAGGGTTTCTTCTTGTCAATCTCAACGATTTCTGGTTTAATCCTCCACACAATACAGCCAATCAACTTGACTCCAATAACCAAGACTTGCTGTTTCAGTCTTCAGTTTGCATGCAGCTCTAATATGTTACTTCTCAATTCCAACAACCAATGTCCAATGATGGTATCTGAATCATATGATGGCTGTAATTTCCAATATATTCCTCTACTTCAATTATCAACTTCAACCCAGTTACTATTTAGGTAAGCTTTCCTTTTCCAAAAAGAAACAGCCACCCTTACGTGCTTCAGAGGGTCCATTTCTTTACAAATATAAGCTTGTGGCATCATCTACAGCCTTTTCTATTAGAAGTAAAGCAAAATCCACTAAACATACCAGAAGGGGTGCAACATCTGTACAACAGGTGTATACAATTAGGCTAAAGGCAACTATAACACAATTTGACAACAATACCACAGTACAACATGCAATTAATAGCTCTTCATTTGAAAAGTCGTGGCCACATATTGGTTAATTGGTGTTGTTTGTGTTGTGGTGTTGCGGAGTCAATGGATCATTTGCTCATTCATTGTCCGGTATCTTCTTGCCTTTGGATGTTTGTTGTTGCGACTTTTGGTTTGGCTTGGGTGCAACCGGCGTTGGTTCAGGCAGTCCTGCATAGCTGGGCAGGGGGTTGTGTTGGGAGGAGACGTCGGAACGCGTGGATGCTTGCTTCTCATTGTATTCTATGGTTGGTCTGGTTGGAGCGAAATAGGCGCATTTTTCAAGGGATGTCTCATTCAGTCCTTTGGTTAGAACGGCGGCTTCTTACGATATTGTTTAGTTGGGTGACTAGATCGGTTGATCCGGATGTTTTGGCTTTTGTCGAATTCGTGGAAGATTTGATTTGTTAGTTCGTTTGTTTGTGGAGCCTCTCCGGCTTCCTTTTTTGTATTATTTGCATCAGCTTGATGCTTTCCAATAAAATTTGATTATTTATCAAAAAAAAAAGTCTCATTGGTGAGGCTTTTAATGAGGATATTAGCTTTAACGATCAGATTTAAAATAAAACAAAAAAAACAAAAGGCCCAATTAGTACACGTTAATGTGTGTTTGGGAGAGAAAAATTGAGTATACACCTAACCTTTGACATAATGCACAAAGTGGTGGCCCCAAGACTTGAACTCACAATCGCAAGGTTATTAGGTCAAGTCTTAACCATTCAACAATCTGATTTAAAATTTAAAATTAATAATTATAAAGTTCGGTGGAGGTAGGTACAGGCCCCACGTTTCTGCAAAATCCACCATGAGGGAGGTCTTATTTGTAAGAAGTTTGATTACAATGTTAGGCCATCTTTTCAAACTCATTATCTTATTCTAAGATGGGCTGTCAATGCAACTTCAAAGAATCGGGAAATTTAAGTGTGGGCCCATTACTGATCTTAGAAATAGGCCCAAAACCAAAACTGGGTCATTCTTATACATACTGACGCTCTTAGTTAGGTCGTAATACACCATGACAGTCAGTGAGCAGTGCAAGAGGAGGAGATTTGAGCACTGTGGCTATAAGTATGGGGCTTGTCAATTTGTTTACAATCGAAGAGGGAAGGCAATTTTGAACTGTTCGACACCAGTTGAAGATAGGGATTACAATAGTAATGAGTGAATGTACAGAGAAATTGCAGAAGAATGAGTCGACAAATAATAATGAGTAAATGGAATATGTGAATGATGGCTTGATGGAGCTGAAATTGGGCTTGGGTTTGCAAATAGAGTTTATGGTAGAGGTGGCTCTCCCTATAATTAGGCACCAGAGGTAGGGCAAAGAAAGAATTTTTTGGACAAGAATATGAATGATATTCAAAAATTGGTTGATCTAGAAGACGTAAACTTCAATGTCTGGTGAACATAATTTTGTGCACAAGAATATGGATGATATTCAAAAATTGGTTGATCTGGAAGATGGAAACTTCAATGTTTTGTCAAGCTTTGGCTGGGTTGGAAGTTTGTGGGACTTTTTTTTTTGGGTGAATAGTTTGTGGGACTTGCGATGACTCATCTAACGAGTTTTCTAAGAGCAGTGAAGAGAATGGGGTGGTAAAGTCTTCAGTCTAATGATTTTGATTTTGTGATTGATTCTCTATTCAAGCATAATCAAGATGTTTATGGGGTGGAATTCCACAATTTGGGAAGTGCTTATTCTAGATTATGGAGTTCAGGTCTTGGTTTTGCTAGAGGAACATAGTCTCTAGGCATCCTTCGGAGAACTCTATTGATGATAGAAAGGAGAGGTCAAGCCAACTTAGAGGTGGCCATTGGCCAGGCCTATGTTACATGGACTCGGGTGCAGGTATCGGGTGCGGATACGTATCTAGGGGTCGGGTACTTCAAAATTAAAAATTGAGAATACGTTGATATGGATCCAAACGAGGATACGGGTACGGGGATACGTTAAATATTTAATTTTTAAAATATATTTATTATTTTTATCTTATATATTACTTTTATTGATAATTTTTTTAATTTATCTATATAATTTTTTTTACTTTTAATTGACATATATATTATAAATAACAAAAATATAATAAATAAAGAATAACAAATTATGTTAAAATAAATATAAAATAGATAATGTATTTTATAGATTTTATTAATTTTTTATTATATATTATTTAATTAAATTTATTATTATATAATTGATAGGTAGATGGTAGCTTTTTTGACTTTTGATTTTTGAAAAGGTGAAAATTTATTAACTTGTTAGTTGGTGACAACTTTCAAGATGGAAGAAAAGGAGTTGTTCTCAATATATTATTTATGATATAATTTATATTATATATTATTTATGGTAAATTATATTATATATATTATATATGATATAATTTATATTATATATTATTTATGATATAATTTATATTATACATTATTTATATAATAGGCACCAATTAAAAAGAAGAAAGAAGAGAAGACGGTCAAGAGAAGAATACAGAGAGAAGGAAGAGAAGACAAGAGAGAAAAAAACAGAGAGAAGGAAGAGACGACGTTGATCGAAACAGAGAAGAGAGAGATGAAGATGATCGAGAGCGAGAGAAGAGAGAGATGAAGATGATCGAGAGCGAGAGAAGAGATAGAAGAAGAGGACAATCGAGCGTGAGTGAGAGAGAGAAGCAGACAGTTCGAAAGAAGAAGATCGAAGCCCTAATTGCAGGATTGAAGCCCAGATCGCAATTTTCGTATCTCTAATCCCAGGTATGCCATCTTTCTTCTTACTTCTATATGCCATATCTACTTCTTCCATGCCGTATCCCGTCCGTATTCTGTACCTGTACCCGTGTCGTGTCGTATCAACACGGGTACTTCGCCAAAACTGATGAGTCCGTGTAACGTAGGGCCAGGCCAAACCGGGTTCACACCAAGATGGCAATACTTAACAAAGGACTTTGTGTCAGCCCAACCAAGCATGGCCCAGCCTAAATATTGAGCCTATATGGTCGCACAAGCCCAGCCCAACCCTGAAGTATATAAAATTCCCAAGCCCATCCATTGGGCCTACGTATATATATATATATATATATTATAATAAAAAATACAAGCAAACTAGACAATAGAAAATAGAAGTGTTAAAATAAAATAAAAAATTACACTATTCCAGTAATATAAAGACTATTCTATCCAATCCAATCCAATTAGTTTACATAGTAGTTCACGTTCACAAGTGAAGAAGCTGTGTTAGAGATCTCCAAACAAACCAACAGTAAGCCACTAAATTAAGTTGTTTTTGCAAAATGATTCGTCCAGTTTGGTTGTATAACTCTTTTTGTAATAATTCAAGCTTGAATGCTAATTTCTAAAACATAAATCACATGCTTAGAATACTATAGTTTGCTTATAATACAAACGTATTCTGCTTGAGCAAGTATAATTTGGTTAACATGGATGCATCAGAAAAGGGTACAAGAAGATCAACTAGGGAGTGAAATTAACCCTAAAACTAATAGCATTTATAATTTTTTCAATATATCACATAACATAAAAAATAATAAAATAAATTAAATACTTAGGCCTCGTTTGGCAATCGAATTTTTTAGCCAAAATTAGCCAAAAAGCCAACAACTCATACCAAAAAGTCAAAGATTCTCTTGTCTCTCTACTTTTTGCACATCTTTTTGTAAAAAGTCAAAAAGTCATCCCAAACATACTAGTTTTTTTTAGCTCATATTTTAGCCAAATAGCCAAAAAAATTACTAAATTAGCATGTTCCCAAACGAGACCTTAATATATTAGTTATAGGCCCGGTTAAGCCAGGACAGGTTGCAGGCCTAAATCCCAAGCCCAACCCATTGATTAAGCAGGCCAGAAATATTGGCCCAGTCCCAGCCCTATGGGCCAAAATACTCTTCCTAAGCCCTAAAAAAGTAGGGCCGATTTGGGTGGACCAATGGCCACCACTACCTCACCTACACATTTTCACCATGAAACCAATGGAGAATCGGGTCCACAATATAGATTCATGTGTTATGAATGATCTTCATTCAAAAGAGCATATTACTCATAATGAGGGGAGGATGATGTGGGTGTGAAATTCTTAAAATTGAGACTTGAAGGTGTCCATGTGTTTTGGCACCAAATCATGATCTAAGCCAAAGTTTTAAATGGCTTTATTGAAATTGCATCGAGATTCGCTTAATGCAAAACACATTGAAGCTTCGATTTTTAAGTGACACTCCTAAAAGGCTTGTGCATCAGTGTCTGAGGCATGCGCTTTGTACCTTTGAGCATAAACATGAGTACACATATGGAAAGGTTGTCTTGGGCTGTTGTTAAACTTAGTATAATACATGGTTTAATTATAAAATTATATTCCCTTTTGTAACTATATTCCATGGGTGGAAAACCAAGTAAATTATCAACTAAGAAAAAAATACAAAGCTAATGTGGCTCAAATGAAGATCAAGATGAATTTCTATGAAAAGTCCAAAGATTATGTTGATCTTTAAGACAAGATTTACTAATGGTCTTTCCTTTTGGGTTTCAGTATCTTAAGGATTGGAAGGTTGGTCATGTGTAATTGTCCTATTTTTTTCTTCTTTCTTGGTGGATTGCTTGACCTTCTTGATGTACTTTGTACTCTTATTTATTTCTTAATATAATTTTTTTTTGTTCATATAATAAAATAGAAAACATAAGAACCACCATCCAACGCTTTTGAAGCCCACTTGAATGACACCCACTCTCTCAAGCTCATACAGCATGCACACTGAAGATTTGCATAACCAAAAACTGCGAAAAATGGAGAAAAGCAAACTTTATAACTCCCTTGCGCAATCTCATAATGGAGAAATAAGTGGTCCACCGACTCCTCAACTATGTGGCACACGAAGCACTGATTAGGAATTTCCTTTGCCTTTGGTTTCCATTTAAACTAAATTAAACACGCAAAAAAGGTGTAAAATAGCATTTTAAGAAATAAGAATGATTAATTGCCCATATAGCTAGATAGATCATTATACATCATGTGCTCAAATAAAATAAAAAATGCTACATTTAGAAAAGTAAGAACATCAAAGAAGTTCATGACTTTATTAAACAATCTTAACTATATGGAGATGAATGGGATGTTGACACAAATTAGGACTACCATTCTGTTAAAAGCCCAAGCTATTAGGAAATGGGTGTCCAACAATATATATCAAGCTATCTAACACCCTTCCTCACATGTAACCCCCTCTTGTACGTGGAGAGACAAACAGAGAAGCAAACAACCAAATAAAGAAGAAGAAACCGAACGGGGACATAACATCAAATGCTAACAAAGAGACTTGAACCCAAGACATCTTTCAACCAGAGCTCTGATACCATATTAAGTTACTAATTTTTCCAAAAGCCTAAGATATTAGGAAATGAGCCCAACAATATAGATCAAGCTATCTAACACATTCAACTAATTAAACACTACATTGTCATCACTTAATAAATATTATATGACTTCAAGTGAGTGTGAAAGATAAAACATTATAAGGGAAAAAAAAAATAGAACTTGCAATAGAGTATTGAAGCGTTCCAATAGTCACATCAATACGCGGCATCAAAAGAAAGAAATGACATATCTATACTATATATAAAGCAATATAAACTCTGAATTGCTCATTCTAAATTTTCTAAAAATTTGAAAATCCTAAAAACCCATGAAGTTGGTGATATTCTTTTGGCCAAAATTTAATTTATCCACATTTGTTTACTCTATCTACAGTTTACCCCCCAACATTTGTGGACTAAGGTGACCATCTACACAGTTAACGGCTTAACTAAAACAACCAAACTATTCTTATGTAAATAAGTAACCTTGACATCGTGCAAACTAAGAGCATTTTTATCATGTTTTTAGGCAAGAAATATGTTTTAAAGCCGATGGCTTGTGGCCCATTGGCATCACCCTAACACTTCTACAGAGGAGGCTGCGAGTTCAAGCCTCGGTAGGGGCATGGGTGTTTGGGAGGAGAATTAGGGATATGCGGCACATTTCACCAACCAAAATGAACAGAGCCATTCGCGTTACAGATTTGTGTGTAAAACTTGCAATTAACTTTGACAAAATGTTTGACAATGCACTTTGGCCTTGTGTGAACAACAAGATTAATAGTGAAATTGATTAATATTCCCATGAATTAGTGTAGGATTAGTTATCCAATTAAATTAGTCAAATAACCATTTATTATGTATTCATTTTATTTTGTTTTCCTTTCATACTTGAAATTATGATCCCAATCCCTCTCAATATTAAAAATTTGCCAATTTCATCCTATTGAATGTCCACTGTAAATATAAGCCATTTAATAAAATTTGCAATCAAACATAAGATTGTGAGTCGATGGACTAACAATCCCAATCCTATGCTATAATCCTACTAATCAAATATATCGTTTTAAGTCCACAAATCATAGGGGTTGTGTGCTTATCCAGAAATGACAAGTTGGTAAAATGCACATAGGGTAAACCACAGGAAGTAAATTTTTAACATTTTTGTGGGAAGTGGAGTGCCATTACTGTATATTGTATGGTTCATAAAGGGTTGATTAAGAGGATTATTGTATGGAAAAACCATGTAGATATTTTTAGATGTAGTAAAACAGAATTTTGTTAAATGAATACCCTCAATAGATTTTTGTAAAGTAATCTTTACACTTAATGTTATGAGATGATCACAAGCCTAAAATTACTAATTTTATATTCCATGCATAGCAGGAGGTGCTGTTAGTACGTATGTATGTATGTATGGGAAACAAGCACGTTAAGAAGTCACAAATGATAATGGCATTTAATAAAGGAAGATTGATTTGCATACCCGATTCCAGGCAGAACCGAGGTGGGTAGGAGGGGGTTGGCGAGAGTGATTGGATAGATCGTCGGGGGTAAGCTTCCTGGGAACAGGGAGTGGGGCTGCGTCTTCCCTCACTTCCCTCACCCAATATGTGTACGAGGATGCCTCCGCCGCCACTGATGCATCTTTCTCCGACGACACTGCACCACCACTCTCCATTTTATAACTCTCTCTCCCCTCCACTCTATTAATTATTCCCTTTCTCCCCCCAAATACAAACAGATCAAACCCAAATAATTTATCACTAATTGAACAGATCAAGAAAGAGATCAGAATATAAAGTTTTATTTTTATTTTTATGTTTGTATGTGATTTACAACAGATCTGAAAAACCTAAAAGGACACAACAATGCAGAGGAGGAGAGAAGAGGAGAGGAAAGGAGAGATGTTGGGAATGCCAAATTGATTCAGCAGAACAGACGACAAGGACAGGCAAGGAAGAAAGGAAGGAAGGAGCAGAGAGTTTTCCGAGTGCGTTCGAGAGAGAGATCTTTCCTTTGTTTCGTGAAGGTTCTTATTTGGCTTTACTGAAGCCGTTGTCAATTAATATGATTTTCTAATCAGGAGTAACTAGTCTACCACGTGATATGGACGACATAATTTTAGATATTTATATTTATTTTAAAATTTTTAATATATAAATGATGTTTTTTAAGATTTTTTATAGAAATAATTTAATAATTTTATTATTAATCATAATGAAAGGGAGAAATTGAAAAGGATACTGCAGTAATTATATACGGATTGTATCAATAATTATTTGTATAAAGTGATTTTAAATGTTGATCAGGAATTTTTGACCAAATCAATAAATGCAGGCATGTGGAAAGACATGTGGATTGAAAAAAGTTAATAAATACTGATTAGGAAATTTTGACCAAATTAATAAATGTTGAGTTTCTTTTTTAAATAAAAAATTTTAAAAATTCATATTGGGATATTTAAGCTCCCACAGGCCTTGGGGTTTAAAAACTCCATTTTACTTAATATATAGTACTAATATATCACTCGTGCTATGCGCGAATTGTGTTTACAATTATCTATATATGTGAATTGTAATTTTTAAATGTCTTTTTTTTTAAATGCCTTCTTTTTTTCCTTTTTTATATTATATTAAAGTTTAATATTTTGATAATAATCATATGTGTTAGACTTTTCAATGAATTAAATGTCTTTTTTTTTATTATATTATATTAAAGTTTAATATTTTGATAATAATCATATGTGTTGAACTTTTTAAGAATTTTTTTTATGCTTGTTTTTAATGCATTAAAGTATTATTATGAGGGATAATAATAATATGTGTTGGGACTTTTCAAGAAATTCATATGTGTTGAATTTCAAAGAATTTTTTTTATGTTTGTTTTTAATACATTAAAGTGTTATTATGAGAGTAGGACTTGAGAGTTGGGAGAAGTTAATAAATGCTAAGGTTTTTTTTTTTAAATCAAAAAATCAGAAAAATTAAATTGGGAGATTGGAGCTCCCACAAGCCTTGGAGTTAAAAACCCCATTTTGCTTAATATATAGTATAGATATAGATTGAGATTTCTCAATCACCAATCCAGGGCTGTCCAAAATATCGTCCAATCTGTTAAAATTGCACCGATTCGTATTCATTCGTACCGCTTTAACTATTAACTGCGGTTTAAACTTTAAAATTTATAATCCGCCAACCGAACCACTCTGCTCTGCTATAGTTAATACATAGATATTTTTTAACCACCAATGAAATATCAATGTAAAAATGAGTGTGAGAAATTTAAGATATGAAATTTATTACAAATTAGTGGTTATATATATGAAACATATTATGTAAAATTACTTTGTGTTATATATTTTAAAAAATATTATACAAATTAGTGTAATATATTATACAAATGTATGATAATTAGTTAGAATATTCTTCAATCAGCCAATCCGCCAAAAACCGCCCAAACCGCAATTTATTAATCCGCTAACAGCGACTTATTAATCAAAGTCGCTATTTGTAATAGCGATTTTCCTGTTCACCTACTTTTGCGCTCCTAACAGTAAAAGCGCGAATAGTAATGGCGCTTTAACTTAGTTTTGGAACTCCGTCAGAAGTTGGCCTAGTTTTGGAAATACAATACAAAAATGGCTTATATTGGGAAAAGGCCCTAACTTATTCTTCTATCTTTTTATCATTTTTAGGTTTTAATATTTTTTTTTTGTGTACACTTTTTATAAAAAATTAAAAAATATGTTTATTTAAATTATTTTAAATAATCTCATACTATAATGAAAATTTTAAATCTATACAAAATATTTAACAAGAATAATGTGATAATAGCATTGTTAAATATATTTATTTTTATTGATATTTTGTTTTAAAGTAAAATATTCACAATAAACTATATCAGTAGATATAAAAGTTATGTATAATTTTTTTATATTTTTTATATAACATTAGTCCTACTGTAAATCAATATGTTATATTATAGATAAGAAAATGGCAAAGTAAATTATAGAGAGCAATGTTAGATATTGTTTGCACATATTTTCGTTAAATTCCTGTTAATAGGTGGATCAATCAGATGGTGGTAACATGTGACACAATTAAAGTGAAAGTCCTTCATCAGTTAAAGGGACAAGTGGCATTAGAGGGGTTGATCATATGCTTTTGATGGCCCAAATGGTGGAGCAGTTACCAAGCTAAGTCATGAACTTAGTGAGTTATTGCATAAGTGAGCAAGTACAGAATAAAGACCTGACTCTGTTGATCATAGTTCCAAAGTGTTGAGGAACATGTGGCATCATGAAGGGAAAGTGATTCAACAGGTAGAGTCGAAGATTTGGTGAAGTTTGAAGATTTAAAAATGAAGGAGTAGTTACAATAATTAAGCAGTGGCAGTTGCAGAAATCAAGGGAACATGCAATCATGGGTGAGGATGGTCATTTTAATCTTATCCATTGGGGGCCGTCCATACCGGGCCTGAATGGGGCGAATTTTACCCGTCCCAACACTTATGTGAGGCAGAAGTGGATTATGTTTTGACCACCCGCAATGGAGGTAGGACGGGGCAGGTATTGCCTCTCTCGATCTAAACTCGACCCAATATAATTAATAATATATAAATAAATAACGTATATATATATATATATATATAATTAAGAAAATAATATTAAAAGTCTATGGTTTTATTAAATATAAATAAATAATAATCCTAAAAGTCTTACTGTTTATATATATGGAAACAAGAAAAATTATTTAGTGTGCTAAGGATTTAATTTTTTTTGACTATTTGAAATGTGATCGGATATCTGCGGGTATTGGGTTCCCATAGGTATCGTCGGGGGCAAGGATGGATTTGAAAAATTCCATCCATAATGGGGGGATAGATTATATTTTGATCACCCGGCAACGGGGTCTGGTGGGAGGGGGCAGGGAATGGCAAACCTGCCCCAAACTTGCCCCGTGGCCATCCCTAATCATGGGCCAGAGAAAGAAGGGAAAATATAAAAACCACGAACTGCTAAAGAGAGGACATCATCAATAATACAACAACTTAGTTTTATCTTAAGGGTAGTTTTATCTTAATTTAGGAGTAGTTTTTCTCTGTAATTTGTAACCTTTGATGGTTTCATCTTGAAATCATCTTTAATTTGCTCTGTTTACTTTGTTTGATGTTGTTGATTGTAATTTTTGTTCCAAAGAAGTCCTTGTACTTTCAAGGCATTTCAATAAAAAACACAGTCGCTTGATTACTCTTGTTTGATTGTTTAGTTAAAATTGTTGTTTAATTCTTGCAAATTGGAAGTTAGCATAATTTTCACTAACAATTTTTAGTACACCCAGTGGAACAACATCTTAATTTGGAACAATGGTTAAGGCAAAGAAGCAAAATGATAAGCATTTAGAGAAGGGGCTTGTTGATTTTGAAGAAGAAGATGTAGACCAAGACTTAGTCGTAGTCGATGGTGGTGATGCTCAACATGTGATCCAGGTAGTGGCTCCAAAAGGCCAGATAAGTTATCACGACCCCATTTTGCCTCTAATAGAATGATGCCATGATGGCCTATAATCCGAGATTATCGAAGGCCAACTTACAAGGATTTACACAAACAGAGCATACATGTGCAGAAGTAATAAATTTAAATTTAATTAGTCCATAAGAGTTGTGCATAGATTAAATGAATGACATACATATTAACATAGTTTTACAACTTAGATACAAAAGTAAAATAAACTTAATATTACATCTTGATCAAAAGGTTTCTCAAGCTCAAACACACAAAACGAATGGTCTACAAAGTTAAGAAGCATAATCTTCAAGATGAATACAAAATATGAAATAAACACACCTTCTACAAATCTTAGGCGACATTGCCTTCTTGCTCATCACCTACATATATATAAGGGAGAGGGGTGAGCTGAAAACTTAGTGAATGATACAAATAATAAAGGTTTGCATGAATGATATCTGAGATTTTATCAAAACAATACATATCATAACTTGTAACAAAATAAAGGATGAACCGAGTTCATCAATTAAAGGTTTTCAAAGCTTCTTAAGATGATTGCTAACATCTACATAATACAAAGGATGACATTCATTGACAAAACAAAGGAATAACTAACCTGAAATTGATTAGACAAGCCCACCCATCGAATGGAAAAGGAGATATCTCAAACAAAAGTACTAGTTGCATTAAAGTCCCCTAGCACTAAGGACCTTTCAAGAATGTCATCAAAACAAACATAATACTTAATATAGAGCTAAAGGATAATCATCCATGCTTGATCAAATACTTTTCCAAAACAAAACAAAACTTTTATCAAAACATTATAATATAACTTTATTAAAAATACCACTCATAATAGCTCTTCGGTCGAGAGAATTAAGGCAAGGATCCAAGACCTACAAGTACATAGTAATTCTATTGAATGCACTTCAAGAAGGCAAGAGTCGATGCTCAAAGATGGTTATGAAATGCACTCTCAAAAAAAGCTTCAAATGAGTAAAATAGATCTCTACATTTCTTTCCAAAACCAAGTCAAAACAAAGCAAAACATGTGTTGGGAGTTATATCAATATTTTTCTTCTTGGAAAAGCATGTTGGGTACAAACTAGGTCTCGAAATGGATGCACAACGATAAGCTGGGCCGAAATGGCCTAGTTGGGTGAACTCAGGAGGTCTTGGCCAAGGTTCCACACCTCTTGGCTGAGGTGTGGTCTCATTGGCCGAGATATGGGCTGCTCGCTTGGGATGTTACAAGATGTCGGCAAAGGTGTACAGTGGTCGTGCGCATATAAGATAGACTAAGGTGTAAGTGATCATACAAGATAGGCCAAAGTGAGATGCAATGCTTGACCTAGGTGTGGAAGCTAGACAAGAGTGGGTCTCGGTGACCACACTTAGGGAAGTGAAGTCTGGAAATCTAGATTTCCTCTTGAAGAACATGAAGAACCTGAACGTGAAGACCATAAAGATCATAAATGCTAAAATCATAACTCCTTATTCAAAATATGATATTTCATTCTA